CACTACACAACTGAAGGCTCCTTTCTATTCCTACATTCCTAGTGCGTACAATGCTATTTCCTTTGTGATCCTGCTTCCTGTTTCCAGTAAGAAACATAAAACTGATATTCCCTAGAGAAACTGAAATCCAACTGAACCTACCAAAGGTACCAGTCAGTGATACAGGGAGTCCGCTGTCCACAGCCAACTACATTAATAGTCTCATTGCTCACTAAAATCAATGAGAATTTTTCTATGGACTTAAGGCTGATCACTTTGTCTGATATGAAAACATTAGATATTCAAATTACTAATGAAGTAGCCTGAATTTTTTTTTTTTCCATACTGCAGAGAGTACACTGATCTAAGAGGAAAAAAACCCTATTTATTTACTACATAGTAGATGTGGTGGATAGTGTTTTAAGATATCATCTTAAAAGGATCCTGTCAGGGACATATGCATCATATGACCATGAAGACCACAGTTAAGTCTACAAAGGAAAAAGATTAATTAAATCACAAATCAGAACACTATGTCTGATTATTACAGTGACCATATTTCTTTATATGTTCACTACCATTGTCTACAGACACCACTTGGAGCCTTCTGAAAGGAAAGCTATCACCTTTCCCATTAAAGCTGGACAAAAAATGTTGGTAGCTGGTCATTCATTACAGATGGAATTTTACTGAAACCATTTTAACTGAAGACTTTTATTTATTTATTTGAAGTCGGCCTTTTGAGCTCTTCTAGTTTCTAGTAGAGTCTTACAAAGTCAAATTATGCTGGACCCTGCACCTGATAAAACATTAACACTGTTTTACACATTTTGGGAGAGGATGGGAACAGAAGGGAGGACACAGACTAAGGAGTAGCAAGCACCACAGTACTCTGATTCAGAAGTGCCAAATCACACAAGGCTCCCCTCTGATCTCACCGATAACTACCAGATTATGAATACCAAAGTATATCTGCTGTCTGCACAAAGGACACCTGAAGCATTCTGTGACGCTTTTCATGTTGTCTCCTCCTCTGAGGGCACTTAATCTTTGGAGAAGAACAGGTTGAGGCTGTATAAACTATCCTAACTGCACACAGCCCATTCTTTACTAACGTTCCTTATTGCAGCTTTTAAAGTAATTCATACATTATCATATGAAATAATTAGACAAAAACGCCTGCCTTACCAGATTATCAAGCATTCGCATAAGAGCTTCAAATTCCTGTTCGCCAATCTGCCATTTTGGATGGGATACAGTACCCTCACCTGCTGGAGACTCAGGGGAACGAGACTTGGCTTTATACTTTCCAGGATCTAAAAGCACTAAATTGTCAGGTCCACCTGCACTGGCCAGGGTACGTACCTTAAAAACAGTAAAGTCATCTTTAGGTTTCTTTTTGAGGGGGAAACAACCAAAAAAGCCCCCAAAATTGACATCAGAAAAAACAGAAGAGATCTACTTAATTTTAAAGGTAAATAAATTAACACACTTGTATAGAAGTTATCTTAAGGCTTTGGAAATACCTGTTTTAATAGGCAGCATATATCAAATCAATGGTTCCAATACAGTATTTCAATATTGCTGGTTAAACCAATGTTTTGGATGTCCTCGCATAATATAATGATTTCCAAATCAACATGTTAGTTTAGATCAAGAGTTTAACCAGTGAATTGCACAACTATTAATCTGTTTGAAGGTTAATAAAGCAGACTGTATTATTATATAACATACTAAAATTCTTACTTGAATCTCACAGGCAAGCACTAGATTATGAATATAGTAGAAAGCCTCCTCGACAGTCTCTCCAACTGATACTAAGCCATGGTTTCTGAGAATAAGGACCTAGAGAGACATTGCAAATAAAGTTAACAGCAGTAAGGCAAGTATTTTCTTGCTCTTGATTAAAGAGCATACCTCCCCCACCCCCCCACACATACTTTTCTTTAATTCTAGGTGTAAATACTGACCTTGCTTTTAGGCCCCAAATTTTTCTGAATAACCACCTTTTCTTCATCATCCACTAAAATACCATGGTAGTCATGATAAGCTACTTCCCCTAGAGAAAGTGCTTCAGGTGAAATTGGCAAGAGACCACACTTCATTGCAGAAACCTGAGAAATATTAAAACAACCAGCTTAATTTCTTGCAACAGAAAAAAAAGGAAAGGAAAAAAAGAAAGAAAATATAATAATAGAATCACAGAATAGTTTGGGTTGGAAGGGACCTTTAAAGGTCAGCTAGTCCACCCCCCCTGCCATGGGCAGCAACATCTTCAACTAGATCAGGCTGCTCAGAGCCCCGTCCAACCTGACCTTGAATGTTTCCAGGGATGGGGCATCTACCACCTCTCTGGGCAACATGTTCCACTGTTTCACCAACCTCATTGTGAATAATCTTATAATGATGAGAATTATAATAGAAAATATATTTTTATATGTATGTGTCTGTATAGGCACATACATAGTGGTCGTATACTCCATCCCTAAAGCTGCTATTTTTCACAACTTTTCGATTGGATACAGAAGTCACATTGATCTTGGGTCTGACTCAGTATGGCTGCTTTTATACAACACCAACACCAATATGAAAAGACTCAGGAAAAAAAAAAACAAAACAAAACACCAAAACCAAACATCAAAATCAGCTGCATCCTTCATTCCTTTTAATCCACTCAGTGATTCTCCCCCTCCCCGTCCCCCCCAAAAGAAGAAATCTAGTAATGAATTTTGACACAAGTAATTCCGCAATGTTGCGGGTAAAGTTAAGGAACATTTTTAAAGACTACTCTAGAATTCACCATTTTAGGAATCTGATCAATTATCCTTAAAATGGTTGTATCACTGCTGTTAATCAGTTAAAAAAACCCAAACAAACAGAATGTGAACTTTGAAATAGAGTTACCAGATGATTCTCAAAAAATTCCAAAGAGGTAAAACTCACTTGTAACCAGCTGTTCTAATGAGAGGCAATGGAAAAGTTTCAAATATTTAAGAAAACCTTGATATATTTGCTTTACAAAACCAACAAAATACGCTGTAGCTCTTATGACTCACTGTCAAAAGGTATGGTCTTTTGTGGTATAGGCCACACAAATATAAAATATGTATCTTCCAATTACAGAGCTCAATTTACTGTCTGACCACTCATGTAACAACCAAATAAGGAGGATATGATTGATTCAAACAGAATCACATATTTGAAGGCAGACTTAAAGGCTTTCTGCTCTTCAAAAAGAAAGCAAATCTGATTTAAGGGGGATCCACCTATTTTCCAGTTTGGGCAGGGGGGGAGAACAGGACAGACGACAAATGAAAAGCTGTGCTTACCGCTGCCCCTGCTGGTGTATGAATATGAACAATGCATTTAACATCAGGTCGAGCTGCGTAAATTGCAGAGTGCAAAGTAAAACCAGCTTGGTTTACTCCCAAATTAGTGCTTCCACGATCAACTACATCTCCCTGAATATTGATTTTAACCTGGGAATGAAAAGAATTAATTTCATAAATGAATCAAGACTGCCAAAAATCTGATTTAATTCAGCATCTACCACTGAAACTCTAAACCCATATTTCTTTCAGCATTTTATTTTAACAAGTGTCAAAATGTGCACAATAAGGCTGTAGGTAGGATAATGACCAGGGCCCTAGCTTGAGATTAAGCTAACTAAAAAGGACATCAGAAACCATTGGATATGACATGAGAAACTGCTGCATGTAACAGGTAACAGTGCAAGAAGCTAACAAAAGTTACAGACAGCACTGTGACAAATGGCTGCATTTCACAGAGAGTTACAGTGGAGTTATATAAGAAACTTGCAAACTTTACAGATACCTGAAGAGGAGTATTGGGACCTTTTGGGGAGTAGGTTCTTGAAAGGCCAGCACCTAGGTAACCATACCATTGATACTATGTAAGGCTGAGATTGCCCAGGTAATAATGTTATAATACCAAATTTGGATATGGACATAGCAAAACTGGAATAAAAGGGAAAAAGTAATTATGCATGGGTTGTTTATTTGGGAGACAACAAGATTGGAGAAAATGGAGTTTCAAAGCGGAGAAGGGAAGAACAAGCATGGGAGAAATGAAGAGAAAAGGGCGATGAAGGAGCAGTCGTGTAAGCAGGCTGCTGGTCAGCATGCTCATTTGGCTAAGCTATGTGCCTTATCACTGTAGTCTCTCTTATTAAATCCTGCTGCTAGCTATGTTCTGTGTGAACATGCTCTCCACCATATGTACATTTTGCTACTTTCATGCAACCTTAATTCTCAAGGTACTTACATTCCTGATATAGAGATAAAATCAGAACACCTTTCAAAAAGTGCAAAACACACAAAATACCCCCACAGCATGGCCCTTACCCTCTTCTAAAAATCTTGTAGTGGCAAGAAAGGGCAGGTCTCTGTTTTCTCCATTCCTTTTCCTATAGCTTTTTCAATTAAAATTTCATGGATGGTTAAGGTGGAGTTATGTAAGAAAGAGCCAACTTTACAGATAGCTGAGGGAGAGTATTGGGACCTTAAGGTGTCAAGTTTGAAATGTTACTACGCTGCACATACTTGCCTCACTTCTCTGCTAGAGGTTACTCACCTTACAGTAGCCAGGTAGAAAGAATAGTGTGCAAGTTTCTATTTTGTTTCAACACAAGAGAGTCAACCACATTAACTCAAGTTGCCTTCAGCAGCAGTGTCGACTAGACTGAAAATAAATGCTCACAAAATGCTTCCCACCAGCTAACAGTCAAGAGAGTTGTGTCTTCAGCTGCAACCATTAGATCCCTAAAACATAATCTATCTATACTCTCAGCTACTTACATCATTAAACGATGGTAACTAAATTAGGCACCTGACACCACGTCTTGAAATTGTAAGTGGTTTGCATCATTTATGTCTGAAACACATACTGTTTCCCTCAACAAGCCTGACTCAACAGCCAGCAGCTTTCTAGGGTGTGACGTATCTATCCAAATGACCTGGCTCCTCTTTACAACTAGACCAACTGGAGGACACCTGGTGGTGAACATGTGCAAAGAAATCGCTCTCAGAGATACCTCAGCTGTACCAAAAACAACCCTGTTGAATGAAACTATTCTAAACATGTAAGACAGAGTAAAATATTCCCTAGGATAGAATTTAAACAGTGACAGATATACAGAGCAGATTCAGCTATTCATATTTTACAGCTATGAAAAATAGCAATTGCTTACCAGACTAGATGCAGTAACTTCACTATAGAGGAGTCCAAAAGGTACAATGAGGAAGTGCTCCTGCTCAGAATTTACTCTGGCCTAAGGATAAAACAAGAGTAAAAGTTACTAAGAATATTTAAGTAAAGCATAAAGGCGGCCCAAAAACATGACAGTTACTTTCACCTCCTGAGTGTGGACAGGGCAAGTATGCCTACAACACATGCAATATGACTTTCATGTATGCTGTAACAGATAATCAACATACAGAACAGTTAATTAACTCGTGTTGAACAAAACCAGATGGCAGATACGTATCAGGGTCCTTCAGATTGGTGGAAGGTAATAAGTCCTTAGATCCTATGGTAATGACAACTCAACTACTGTGGATAAAAGGAATGATACTGAGAGAAATGGGAAAATAAAAAGTTACCATTTTTTTTAGAAGAATGAGTTTATACTGCAACTGTATTTCTATCCTAGTAAAACAGAAGGTATGAAATAGAAGTGTGTGAGAAAACACAAGAATTTGGCCCACAGATCTAAAACACCTTGATGCTGAGAAGGGTTTTATCACTGATGCTGGTGCCTGTGAGACATCTGTGAGCAGTACAGCATCCTTGGCAGGTTTTCTGCCAAGTATCTTGACCCTCACTTATGTTTTTGCTCTTTTGTCTAATTCACACAATCAGGAGTTTATAATACAAAAATAATTCTGACTTCAAACCATTCACATCTTGGGATGCATCTGTTAAAAGCCTGTACAACAAAAAATACAGGACAGCTAGGTATTTTAGGTGTCTTTCAATGGAGAATTAAAAGGCTTTAAATGTTCTACTAGACAGGCAAGACAACTCCCTATTTTGCTATGAGTCTACCCAGGTTTTGTGTTTGGGTTTTTTGATTTTTTTTTTTTTTATAAATAATTTAAAAATTTTATTTCTTTATTTATTTATGAATTCTGCATTTCCCTGAGATGCAGCTACTTTATGCTCCCTCATGTCTTCCACTACTTGTAACATTAAATACATGTGTGCTTTGATATAGTTCTACTGCAAGGAAAAAAAAATTTCTGAAATAAGTAGTTGATCAGTCATCCAAAAGCTTCTAGCACAAATCTGGCTTCATTTACAACCAGCTGGTAACATGCTATAGCACAAGAGCCTTGAACTGAACCAGTTAGTTGAAGTTAACCTGCACTTTTATGAATCACCAAAATAGTTCTCCATTACAAAAGTGTACACGATCTACAAAATCTTTCACTTATTTATGCAAACCCAAGAACAGGTATTAGTCAAAATGCCCCAAAAGCTAATAAGAAAGGTCAAATGTAAGATAAACAAGCAGCAAGACTCATAAACCGCCTTACTTTAGGATTAGATCCAACAGCTCGTGCCCTCAAAGCAAACCAAGACTTGGTGAATGATGTATACCTTCTGTAAATCTGTAATCTCAAATTCTGCCTAACCCTGGAGGCACCCAAGTTTACTCCACATTACTGTACTTGACATGAAAGCTCTTGACGCTCTGTAATTCTGCTTCTGTGTCAGGACTGCACCAGTCTGAACAATTCTACACACAGCAGCTGTCAGTGATTGATAAGGATCCAGAAAAGCAAAGACACTCCACCCAGCTCCTTGATATGCCCAGATTGGCATATACTCTCATATCCTCACAATTCCTTTCTCCTCTAACACACAGGCTTATGCCCCTCACAGTAGGCTGTTGTATATTTTCTCTTACTTAAGAAGTGCACTGGCAGCTTTTAACGTGAATGTAATCACCTAGTAATTAGAGCATCCACTCACAAAAAACTGAAAACCTGGAGTCAAACTCCAGCTCTGCATGAAGCAATAGGCATTCACCACATTCCAAAGGAGTGCCTTACTACCACACTACTACTTAATGTATGGGTATATGGAACAAAGACAAGACTACTTTGTAAATATAACAACCTTGTTCTAGATCAGCTTCTGAAGATAAATTATATCTACTAGTCACCTTTCAGAATGCTATTAACTGGAAGCATTTGTAAAAGACAGGTGAATTATGACTTGTGATTGCTGCTGACAAACCATTAACCAAGAGCTTTCCAGTACCACTTTGCCCTTCAAAACTGTCTAAAATACTTGCAGAATCTCATACTCTAAGTGCTTTGACTGTCTTCCACCCCAACTGGTATCACCATTATCTAACCTTCCTGTGCTTCCCCTGCCATCAAAAGAAACCAAACTTGAGGCATTCCACCCCAATCATGTGCCCTTGCCTTAACCAATTCCCTAGGCACGCCGCTCTTCATTACATTTATCTTTCTATCTAAATGCTTAAGCATTCCCAGGGCTGAACTTTACACTAAAAAGCCATCTACAAACCTACTTATCTAATAATCTTTTTATTGCATTAATGTCCCTTTTACAAAATCAATTCTCCTGTCACATATGAAAAATCATGGGCGGCACAGAGATGTTTACAAGAACCATAATGCTGGATATGTTCCCATACTAAAGGAACGAAACAACCTAACCAACATTGCCTTGATCCTATGCCTACTGATATCATTTATCATCTTCATCAGTTCACAAATAATATACCTTTAAATCTCAAAAAGCAGTAATAATAAAATTACCATATTTCATTCAGACTGCAACTAGAATAACTGAAAATACATAAAGGACAACCTCTACTATGTAGAAAAAAAACAATTCAGCTCTGTCAGGAAAACAATTGACTGGGTTGCACACCACAGCTGTGACTTTACTCATGAGACTCATGTTGATCATTCTTCTGGCATATAAAACCTCCTTGATTTGACCTCCATGTCATTATTTTTATGGATGCCAGCAATTACTCAGTCACAAGGAAAATTGTTGGCACGCTGCATTAAGCTAAGTAGTTCACTCATGTTCAGAAATCCTATGGCTTCTTTTTCAAAAAGATTGGTACCTTGAATTAAAAAATTCATCTGAATGACTAATTCGAAGATATTTTAGTACTTAGCAAGAAAACTAAGACATGAAATTGCAGAATAATACATACAATTATTTAAAGCATTTAAGATACTAAAAGACTGAGTCTTTCAGGAATCTTAATTTCATCATAAGAACTTTCATGTACACTCTCTTAAGACTCTATTCAGGCTATGGTAGCTGACATCCAAGCTGTTCCAGTTCTTATTCTTGAGATGCAATGACAAATCTCTTCACTGTTATACTGCTTTCAGAACCACTTTGCTCCTCTTCCACACAAAGAGAAAATGACAGATGAGGGAGGGAAGCAATCCTCTTGTATGTTAAAACAATTGGTTCAGTTATCCATTGATTCAATACTCACTGTTATATGATTGTAAATAAGCTGAGACCAGCCAAAGAGATCTGCTAATCTGTAGAAAGCTGCCAATTTACATCGTAACAACTTCTCCCCTTTTTCATAAGCAATGGAATCTGATCCTCTCAGATCATTCACGGGTGTCACCATGCCAAGACCTGAAAAGGAGAAGGGGTAAAAAAACACAAGGGGGGTTGTGTTCAACATCAGTTAAAACCTAACAACACGCACCACTATTATAGTCATTGTTCTTACTAGTTTATATCAACATATTAACCTAAGAAATGGATAACAAACTTTAATTACTGTAATGTCATAATTTATATTACACAAATACCATGACAGTCTTAGACAACATTATTTATCTTTGGTAGACTCAGCACTCGTTTCCTTCCTTAATATTCGTAAGTGCTAAGGTGACAGTGTGTCCCTTAGCAAAGTATTTTCTTTTCTCTCTCAAACTAATGATTATCTGTAAAATACAAATTCATTGTTAACAGAAAAATGTAACCCCAAATATTCCACTTTTTTGAGATACGCGATTTGGTATTCCTGAAAAGGAGGAATATAAAAAGATGCACACGGGTTCATTTAATTAGGAAAAATTAAGTACAAGCTAGAGAGAGGAGGATTACGGTAAATAATTACAAACACTGTAGTTCTAGTTAGTGTGATTAGAAATGTGGTTAAAAGTAACTGTGATAAAGCAGAACCAGGCCATGCTACAGTCTAAACTATAGATTTGTTTTGGAGCACAGGCAAGGATTTATATTATCTTAACACAAAACCTGTGTGTACATGCATTCAAACATTTTGGTTTTTGTTTTCCTTCTTCGTTTTGCTTGCTGATGTTTCTTATCTATAGCTTCACTCACAGGAGAAAGCTGCAAACAGTATTTCAATGGCAAAAATAATTAGTTTCTAAAGACCTTCGCTGTTACTAGACTACTAATGAACATTTCATCTTCCTGCAGACAATCCATGTGGTAAACACTAGTAATATTTAAATCTTTACATTTTTCACTAGTGCTGACTTACCAGGCTTATTTTTCAGTTAAGATACCTGGCCTGGTTTTGACTGGGATAGAGTTAATTGTCTTCCTAGTAGCTGGTATAGTGCTATGTTTTGGGTTCACTGTGAGAAGAATGTTGATAACACACTGATGTTTTTAGTTGTTACTAAGTAATGTTCAGACTAAGTCAAGGATTTTTCAGCTTCTGATGCCCAGCCAGCAAGAAGGCTGGAGGGGCACAAGAAGTTGGGAGGGGACACAGCCAGGACAGCTGACCCAAACTGCCCAAAGGGGTATTCCATACCATGCGACGTCATGCCCAGTATATAAACTGGGGGGAGTTGGCTAGGGAGGGGCGGATCACTGCTTGGGAACTAACTGGGCATCGGTCGGTGAGTGGTGAGCAACTGCACTGTGCATCACTTGTTTCGTATACTCCAATCCTTTTATTATTATTGTCATTTTATTATTGTTATTATCATTATTATTTTTTTCCTTTCTGTCCTATTAAACTGTTCTTATCTCAATCCTTGAGTTTTACTTTTTTTCCCCCCCAGTTCTCTCCCCCATCCCACTGGCTGGAGGGGAAGCAAGCGAGCAGCTGCGAGGTGCTTAGTTGCTGGCTGGGGCTAAACCACAACAATACCACACTTGAAATAGCTTTTGATTTAAATTATATACACGAATCACATTGCATATCACTGTGGCATTTAGAAACTAATCAATTCATTTTATGTTTGCCATGTTCCTGTGAGCAGAACAGTATAGCATTTGAACTTCACAGCACTTATTCACACAGTCTTCATTTTAAGCTTTAAAAAAAAAAAAATTCAACTATTATAAATTAAGGTGCACTCACTCATGTTTAATGCAGCCATTCCGCCTTGTGGTGCTGCAGGGTAGACATTTGGTACATTTGTTGTCATGAAATCCGCAATCTGCTGTAAAGCCAATAAACCTGTTGGGTTCTTCCCCTTCTTAAATTGTTCCTGGATCATAGATTCCAGTTCTTCACAAAAAGCCTAGCAACAGGACATTGCATACTGTAAAGCATGTTCAAATGAACGTCAACCTTTCACACACAGCTTCTTTTTAGCACTTAGATGGAAACATCCTATACCTCCTCTGAAAACCAGCTCAGGGCAGAATTACTGGGTGCACACTGTTACTTGAAAATGTTGCTCTCTCGAGCTCCAAGGATATGAGTCACTTACTTTTTTGTGAATGGAAATTCCAGCATTCTCTCCAAGTAACACCAAAACTCATTGAACCTACTAACATGGATTTCTGGAAGAAGGAGCAGTACGTACAATTGACTTGAACACAAAACATGAAAAGAAAAGTAGCAGAACCAGAAAAGAGAAGGAAAGTTGTAAGTGTGGCTTACAGGGAACTGAGAGCCAAGAAGGAATCCAGGAACACAGGAAGGAATAGCTATTAAATTTTTAAAGTATGTTTAAACAAGGGGTTGTTACTTTTCTCCTGGTTGTTTTTTTTTTTACTTTTTGTTTTGGTAATGGGGTTTTTTTGGCTTTAACTTTGAAAGGAAGAAAACAGTATTTTTTACTACTGTTAGTAGCTGGTGCTTTTGACAAGAACACTGGAATTTGTACTGAAAGAGAAGTATTCCAATCATTAAGTGAATCTAAATAAAATGGGTTGATTTCACGTGGAAAAACTGTAAATATACCAATACATCCCTATTTTTAATGAAGTTCTGTCATGAAATGTTTTGTATCTAAAGTCAACCATCAGTTATTACAAAAGGAAAAAAATGTTATGAGATAAATGTTGTTTTGTGTACTCTCTCCCTGAGGGAAATATCTTTAATATTAAATGTCAATCATTCATAGTTTATTATTGTGCAGCATTCAGAAAGAGATATATAAAAATATTTCACGTCAGAATCATGTATGAAAATTAAGCACAGGACAGACCTGCCTTGTATAAGCTCCTCTTTGAAGTGTTACTTAATTTATATGTTTAAATGAATAACTGAAAATATGAAACAAGTGAAAAAATGTCTGACCCAGACTAGATGGAAAATATGAAAAAAAATTTATGATTACACAGAGAATTCTGAAAGCAAGACTGAGGAGCTGCTTCATGAGTAGACAATAAAAATTCAACCAGATAATGTGAGGAAAAATTAGGCTACAATTAGAATACTTCAGAAGAAAGGCCAACCAGAAGAAAGATCAAATGGATCTAGGATACCACAAAATTCTCCAATTCCATAGGGATATTAAAAATAGAGATAATAAATTTATCACTTTAAAGGTGGAGCATTTTCTTTTCTTACTGGGCTTTGAAGAATCATGGAGACTCTCTTCTTCTGTTCCATCATGTTAAAATCCTGGCGAAGGTCAGGTGCCATATTCCTCTCTCTCAAATAATCTGGATTATTTTCATCAACTCGATCAAAATACCTCTCTTTATGAGGGGCTGTTGTTGGAGGTGGTGAAGTCACCACCCCCACACCAGAATCACCATTCATAGCACAGTTTTAAGGAACCTACAAAGAGGGGACAGAGAAGAGGAATAAATAAATCAAGCAAGGAAATAATTAAGAACTTTGTACATGTTTCTTGTTTCAGAGTAACAGGTAAAATCCACCTAAAATTAGCATGGCTTCCCAAACACAGAAACCATGTTTGTGAAATTGGATAGCAATATTCTAGAGGAGAAAGAAAGATTTTAAAATACATGATTAGAAAAGTAGGTTAACATATATGAAAAGTCAAATATGCTACATACGTACATGCTACACAAAACTAATAAAAGAGTTCCCATTTAAAGTACCTCCAGTTCTTTAAGCTGTCTACACAGCTTGATTTTCGGAAGCACCAGAGTCCTTCAAACCTTCTCACAGACAATGACAGAGAAGTTCAAGACACATGAGGTCTAAACTCCTTGGTTTTGTTTTTTGGTTTTTTTTTACTTAAAGTTTAAGCAGACACAATGAAAACAATATTGCATAAATCAGAATTTAAATCATTACGGAAAATAAGACATTACACATGTTCATTAATATGAAGAATCAACCCCACCAAAACATGCTCAGATTACTAACATGTTTCTGGAGACAAACACAGAAATACTGACTCTGCAACCTGAGGCGTACTCTTCACAAATGTATTTATTTTAGGTTCATTCAATGGCATGCACATCACTAGATTAGCATGTGGTTTTTGGAATCTGGAAAGCACACACACTAAGACAACCCCCACCCACTGGCTAGGGTTCATTTCAGTTTTACATGTTGTAATCAGCAATTGCATGTATCTACTAGAAAGGCTGAAAACCCCGCTGGCATTGCTCATACACACATCCTTTCACTCAGAAGAATCCCTTTGCGTAACATGACCCTAGTTTTTTGGGCACATTATTATAACCTTCATTCCAAAACCCTTTTTAGAAGATTTTTTGAAGCCTTCTACTGACAAGCAACCAGTTCAATAAAGCCACCCTTGCAACACCTGGAGACTTAAACTTCTGAATCCTGATCATCTGACATATCAAATTAAAATAAAGCTCTTTCAGAAAAGATTTTTTTTTTTGCATATTGTACACGATTAAACAAAATGGCACCGACACAAACTGTATTTCACTGAACTGTAATAAGAATATTTAACTCTGAATGGCTTGCTAGTTCAGCAAACTGCAATTATTTACATTATACACCAAATATGCAAGGTTGAAATTCCTTGCCATCATGACATTTAGCAACTTTACTAAGAAAATGAGCCAAGAAAAGCTAGCAGGTCTTTTCCTGGAGGTGGAAGAACAGATAAAGAGAATAAAGTAGCAGAATCTGGCTCCCTGTCCCAGTACGGTGAAAAAGACTAATTTCAATAATGCTGATTTGGATTCGGGGTTCACACAGCAAGGAGAACACTGATTTAAACAGTCAATTTCATTACGCATCTTTAGTTTTGCAAGGATTAGTACCATTAAAATCTGCTGATATTATCAAGTCATTGCAATTCTTCTTGCTATGCAGTAGGAAAGATTGTACATATCTTTATTTAAGTAATGATTAATCTACATGTCATAACTAGTAAATTTTGATATATGTCTCTATTCTTTTACTATTTTTAGATTTTTCTTAGTGACTCGTCTTAAACTGTACTTGCTTGCGGATTTTAATTTGATTAGGAATTTGCTTGCATATTTATTAGCTAAAACCACCTCAGATGTAGATGCACACAGAAAAGGCAAGTTTACATAAATTATTTTGAAATGCAGATTATGTTAAAATCATTGTGGTGAAAAAAATTATCTACTTCAAAATTTCAGAATTAGCAGATCTCATCCTCTTTAATTCTTATATTAGAAAACAAGTTTCAAAACTCAACTGGTTTCTTATTTCAGAATGAACAAATCACTGAACTGAGACAGTTGAACACAATGAGCAAAAGAAAAAAGTATTTTCCTTGACTCTGCAGAACAGGATACTACTATCAAAATCTATGTTGGCACTTAAGACACTCGAGTTTTAGATGCTCAGTGATTTCCACCCACGGAGTTGCTAAATAAACACACACAGACACCTCCGCACTGTTTAAAGTATTTCATTTTAAACCAATCAGTTTAGGCTTTAAAAGTCATGGTCGGATTTTTTTTTTTTTCTTTAAAGTAAGCACATACACACATCTTTATTATTATAACTTCTTTTAATTACTACCTTGCCTCCGCCCAGGAAGAAATATAGGGTATAGCGAGAAAAAATAATGCTTTTATCTGCATGGAAAACCTTTTAAGGTGTTAGACCTAGAAAGTTTTAAGCAAGTGATGTTATAGCAAAGGAGCCACCTCTCCTTTGGCAGCTTCAGATCCCTCTAAGCTCCCTTCCTCCTCACAACCTCCAGCCTGCACCATCTGCCATTTCACACCTCAACAATGCTTTTGAAGGCCCGCTACCACTTTCCACAACCCCTCTTCTGAGCTCTATCAGCTAGCCTAATGCCTCCGCATCCAGCTTTTTGTTGAAAAATGACAGTTTGCAGATCCAAACATATGGCTTACTCTCTTACAGTAATAGCTCACTTGGCCCAATCTAAGTCTGAATTTCACCACCCTCTGCTTACCGCAAGGAATCAGGGAGTTTAGAAACAGTGCACGGGCAAGTCCACAAATAAAGACAAACTGAACCACTCAAGTAGCTCAGAATTTATACTGCATTCTGTTGAGTTGTAGCCCCAAAAGTGTATTTACTTTAAAGCAAAGCATGGGAAAACAATCAAGTCTGAGCTTACTGCCACCGCCACCAGCAGAGAACAAATGGCCTACTCCTGCCTGATGAAGCATTCAATTTCCAGAATATACTTAAGTGTAATGTTGTATCTTGTGCATATGTGTATGTGCAGTCTTATTTAAAGAAGAGTGTACACACATCTGCAAACATGATTTTGAGTTTAATTATTCACACTAATTCCTCTTACTTTCAGAGTACCAAAAGCTATTTCCAAATGAATTACATACCTAATTACTTCTCTTCACTGTTTCTTACTCACACTGGAAAGAAGCTGGTCCCTAACAGCCTGCACAGGCAACATTAAAATGGAATCACAATGTCTTGCCAAAGTTGTATTACTCCTTCACTCAGGTATAAGATGGCATTCAAGAAGGTCCTGGGAAGCTATTACTGCTTCACCACTATGCAGTGGCAATAATTTAATAGGGAATTCAGTGTTTAAAATTAAGTGATCATTTGATACCTAAGGTTAAATATCAGTTTCATAGCTCTGTTTTGTAGATACCCAAAATTAATGGCATCTCACCCCCAAGGTCTAGTAATTAACTGTTTCAACATAACTGTAATAGTAATTGTTTACTTTAATGGCTGTCAGCTACTGATGATAAAGGTATTGATTTTTGAATTAGAAACAGATGTGTTTAACAACACTTTGCACAAGCCATTGAGATTTATTTATGAGTTTCCTCGGAAGACCCTTTGGGAGTAAGGCGTGATGTACTCTCCAGAAAGAGCTTCAGCAATATGTATACCAATAAATAAATAAAAGGAATCTGAACAGTTAAGCTGAATACACACTGGGGAACGGCCAATGGTTCTATAAACTGGAAAGTCACACTGAAAATCACATCAGGCTGCCCAACGAGTGAAAAAAAAAATTAAGACCATCTTCACACCCACAACTCTTCAGTACAGACAGTTCCTTTCCAATGTAGTGTACTACAGCGCCCAAGTAAGATAAGCTGTAATGTCAAAGGACTTTTTCCCATGATAAGTGTTTTTATGCAAGAGCCTGTTCTAACACAACTGTATCAGAAAAAGCCACACCCTTAACTGAAAAAGCTGTGGCTGGAAAATATAAGTCCATAAAAAGCCCTTCTCTTGGAAGCAGCTATTTTCAAATATAAAAAGACAGTCAGAGGGAACAGCATCTATTACTGGGGGGGGATGGGGGACAACCCCCAAATCATAAAATCCAAATCACACCTTATAGTGTGACGCAATTAGATCCATTCTTCTAATACATATGTATGTATAAACACTAGAAATTTCAATAAGCCACCACATCAAATGACAGCTACCAAGCCAACTCACAGCATATTGTATTTATCACAGGGCATGCACATGTGTATGCAAGTACTATAAACAGATTGTTCATGAAATAAAACTGGTTTCTTGACAAAAAAATTATAAAATGTATAGCACATTTACAGGTACTGAGCATGTTTACAAAAAGCGTTCTGAAATTAGTATTAATATTTTGGGTTACTTTTCTCTCTGAAAATCCCCTTCTTCCCCATCCTCTCCTAACCCAAGCTAATTCCATCACAGGATTCACCTAAGAGGAAGTGGTGCTACAAAGTTTAGTTTAAACAAAAGAAGAAACTTTCAGAACAGGAATGCCATAGAATCATTCACATTAACATCCAGAAAGAATCAAAATCTCAATTTTTAAACAGCTTATGTTCTCAGCACTCAGTCTGAGATGATGCACATATAGTTAAATAAACTTAAACAGGTAAGACAGTGAATAACACCCAGTAAGAATCTACAATAATTTAAGGGTGCATTAAAAAAAAAAAAAACAACCCTTAAATCTAAAAACTATATAGAATAATTTAAAAAAAACAACATTGGATTAGGGCTGGGATCTCACTGTAGTAAATAAACACATTTAAAACTTTAATATTAAACTCATTTCAATACCTGAAAGTTGGCACAGATCTAAGTACTTATGCTTCTGGTAGTTTATAGGTTCAGTGTTTCTCACCTGAATCATCTCATTAATATTATGGGAACCTTGAGAAGATTTAAAATGTCCCACAATATGTACACTAGCAGGGACCAGCTAACTACATTTCTTGGAAGAAATTATTTTTGCAATCACTTAAAGGTTCATTTTGTTTTGTAGTAACTTGTAATGGGTTTTTTGCTCCTCCACACCCAGAGGAACTTGTTTTTACTAAGGCTGCAGTCGATGGAATTTGACCTAATCTAAAGGCTCACTGCCACCAAAGGACTGAGCATACCTCTTCACACT